TTAACATAACAATAAAAAATTTTTAAAAGTTAATGAATGAATTAAGAAAAAAAATAAAATAATGTCTAATTAAAGACTTTATGAAGAATCACTCTAGGTTGATTGGTCTGGAAAGATTAAAGATTAAAAAATAGAAGCACACGCACTCAGAAAGTTTTGGTTTTGTGGCTATTGGTGTATTTGTCTGCAGTAATAATAGGATTTGACAGGAGAAACCAGTTGATGGCTCACATTCTATGAGATGTACTGGATTGGAGCCTACAGAATGAATCACTGTTGGTGAACATTATCCAGACAGGAACGGGTTATGGTTTTGTCTCTGGAAAGTCTGTCTATATAACTATCATCCATTTGTTAGACTAGTTTAGAAAGAAATCCTAATATCAGAATAATGTCAAAGACAAGGAAGACAAATTTTAAAAATGCATGGATACTCATGTGGAAGATGATATAATTTGTTAATATAGCTGTGCAAAAGGTCTGAATGATCCTTGTTTATGCCTTATAGCACAGTTGTGAAAATTAGGTTGTTTAATTTATTCTCAAGTAGTATTGTTTTTAATCACTATTTAACAACATAAGCAAGATACATTATTTGACTCAAATATTAATGTATTTGCAAGATCCTCATTTAAGTATTTGCTATTTATTCTTCCCTCGGGTAGATACTGGTTGGCTCCCAGACTTCAACTATGGCATCAAAACACAGTACAGTTATATATAAATAGATTCCTTGATGAAAATGGAGTCATGTGTATTTACCATGTTTACAAAAATATACTTATTGTTTTCTCCATTATATTTAAAAAAGCCACAGATATGGCTTGATTATATTGTTTTTTTCTTAAAGAAAATGCCTGACTATTTAAAGTATTGTGATATTTCCCATTATCTTGTAACTCTCTTTTTTGTTTATGAAAAATATTTTTCCATTAGTTTAGTACGGAGAAAACTGACCAAGGAAAATTTAATATTTAACTTATAATGATAAGTATTTATCATATGTAATGAGGCTTATCTGGCCTAGGTATATTTCTTTGTTAATAAGTCTTTTTTCCTTCTGGAAAATGAAATGTATTGAGAGTTAAAGAATTACACATGTGGTTAGAAAGCTGACCTTTAAAGCCTCTTTCAATCTCGAAGTTTAATGTTTCTGAGCTATTTGGCTGCCTTTTCTTTCTTTTCTTTCTTTTTTTTTTTTTTTACAGTAACATCAAAAATCTATAGAAACCCCAAACAAAATGCAGTTTTGGTTTTACATTAATTAGCTTTGAAACATAACCTTCACAAAAGTGTTTTATTATCTTTTAAGAGTCCATTAGGGTATAAAATCAATACTTTAGCTACTCAGTAGAGCATTTCATTTTTCTCAGTGTTTTTGAGAGAAGCCACTATATGCTTCCAATTTAACTTCTTTCTTTCTTAATGGAATTCTATACATACATAAAATAACTTTCTTAAATCATTAAAACCTAATAGAAAATTAGCAGGGTTGTGATAGATTGCTATACCTTTGTGGTGAAAAGACAGGGTAAGAGCTAGTAGTTTTGAGTGCCCTTCGGACACATGAAACACCACCTATTTTCTCAAGGGAGGATATTTGAAATTAAACAGGCATGAATTTTCTACTCCACCTTGGGGAGATTTGATAGCCCTCTGCAAGTATTAAGCTTGGGGACTGTGCTTCTCTATCCTCAATCATTCACCCCACCTTCAAGAAAGGAAAACATCCTAAAGAAATAGATCTATTCGTGAGAACAGTCTCAGGTGCCTAGTTCCCCAAAGGAAGGCAACTTGCAGGCAATGAAAGCATATTGCCTACATGAGCCACCCTGGGGCAATTTTTTGGTAAATGACAGCTGTCACTGCCTTCTGAGTAGATTCTCAATAGAACACTACACTGGCAGTGGTCACAGAATGGGTGGAGAAGCTTATTTTGAGTTGTATTGCAGTTTTCCATTGCTGGGTAACAAATAACTGCAACATATATCATCTTACACAGTTTCTGTAGATCGGAAATTCAGAAGCAGCTTATTAGCTGCGGGGCTCTGGCTCAGGGTTTCTCATGAAGTTGCCGTCAAGGTGTTACTGGGGACTGCAGTCTCCTGAAGATTGGAATGCAGCCAGACAATCCACTCTTTAGGGGGTTCCCGTGCATGCATGACAAGTTGGTGCTGTTTTTTGGCAGGTGGCCTGGGTTCCTTTCCACTGGGCTACTTGAGCATTCTCATGAAACTGTGGTTCTCCTGGAGTGACTGATCCAAGAGACAGCAAGGCAGAAGCCAAAATATTTTTTATGACCTCGTCTCAGAAATCACATGTAATCATTTCTAGTATGTACTATTGTTTACATAAATCAACCCTACTCACAGTTGGAGAGGACTACATGGGTTCACAAATTCCCAGAGGTGAGATTATTGGGAGCCATTTTGGAGCCAGACCACCATGGAATATGGTAATTCTTCTTCTGGGTTGTTAATAGAGCTGGTCTTGGAGAAAACAAGTAGTGCATTGTTTTGTTCTGTTTTCTAACCATTCTTTGGGCTCCCATTTCTGTGCTTCTTTGAGCAACCTTCTATTACCAGTTCCCAGTACTTTCAAGTTGATCCCTTCTTCCTCAGCGCTCTGCTGTGGTATCCTTCCTGTTGTTAAAAAACAAAATTCAGATGAGTAAATTTGAAGATCTTGAATTGGGTAGCATCTCATCTAGCAAGTAGAGGTGTGCTCCAAGGAGTTGTGCAAAATGGAAGGTTTTTATAAGAAGGAGGGTGGGGCAAGAAAGTTATAAGCAAAAGAAATATGCAAAGTCACCTTCCCTTATGGGGGGAGAGCAGGAGGTCTTATCATGCAGATTACCTCATCTTCCTTTGGAGAGTGGAGAAGGCCCAAGTGGCAGACTCCATTGGCATCCATCAGAAAATTCCTGACTGATCTGGTTAAGACCACATCGCTGGGGAACATTGAAACTACAATTAGATTCAGGTAGTAAGCCACAGTTTACTGACTTAGGGCTTTAACCTAAGTGATGCCATTTTGGACCTTTGGTTTTCTTTTTAACACTATCTATCCTTCCTTTCTCTCAAATTCAGCAAAGATTTGAGGGCAAATTGTGTGTCAGTCACTGTTCATCAGTGTACAAAATCACCCCTTTTTTTTAAGATTTTATTTATTTATTTGAGAGAGAGAGATTGCGAGAGAGAATAGGAGCAAAGGGGTCGAGCAGGGAGAGGGAGAAGCAGGCTCCCCACTGAGCAGGGAGCCCAATGTGGGGCTCGATCCCAGGATCCTGGGATCATGACCTGAGCGGAAGGCAGGTGCTTAACGACTGAGCCAGGGAGGTGCCCCGTAAATGCAATATTGTGATTTATAATGAGAAATACATGGTCTTTGACCTTATTCATGGCACAAAGGGCCTAAAACCTTTGGAATTTTCTGTGATAAGAACACTAAAGGTATCTTTTATTATGTTAATGAAGTGACTTTTGGAAACCCTCTAGATAACCTAAGTATGGGGGCTGGTTGCCCAAGGTACTAACCATGTGATTAGAGGACTGGAACTTTTAGTCCCACCCCAGACTTCTGAGAAGCGAGAGGGGCTAAAGGTTGTATTAATGCCAATGGCCACTGATTTAATTAATCATGCCTATGTGATGAAGCCTCCATAAAATCCCACAAGGTGAGCGTTCAGAGAGCTTAAGAGTTGGTGAACAGGTGGAGATTTGGGGGGGAGTAGCATAATCAGAAAGCATGGAAGCTCTGTGCCCTTCCCACATACCTCGTCCTATACATCTTTTCCTTTTTATCATAAACTGGTAATCTAGTAACTAAAGTGTTCTCTGAGTTCTGTGAGCTGCTCTAGCAAACTAGTTGAACCCAAGGCAAGTGTTGCTGGAAACTTCAATCTATAGGTCAGTCAGAAGCACATGTGAGACATGGACTTACAATTGGCATCTGAAGTGGGAGGGGAGAGTCTTGCAGCCTGAGTTTTAACTTGTGGGATCTGATGCTATTTCCAGGTAGACAGTGTCAGAACCGAGGTAACTTATAGGACACCCAGCTGCTGTCCGGGATTGCTTGGTGGTATGGGAAAGCTCCTCTTCCCTACCCATATGTGTTGGAACTGGGTCCAGAACCTTTAGTAAACAATCAAGGTAAGAGGTCAATGATTGGCAGAATCCCCTTAAAATAATATTTTTATTTTCGTAGAGCTAGCTACTCTGTGATTTTATCCAAAAGAGTAAGGTGCAACTTTAAGGCTCTGAAGCAGATACTAAGCACACTAGGGCGGGCTCTCTCATTTGTACCAGTTTCACTGCTTTAAGCCACTTGTAAGACTACTTCTGTTCAATGGAAAACATTACCACCAAGCTATCTCATTCAACATGGTCTTTTGCACAGTGTGGAAATGCAAGACTGGGGGGAAAAAAGTATTTTCCATGCTCAAACAGAGGCAAAAACATTAATGTGGTTATCACCACGGGTACATGATAATTATCAGTGATTAAAGTAGTTAGTTTTGCCATTTCCTTTGAAAATTGACACAGTGTGATTTGAATTTCCACAGATAGGATGAAGAGCTTTGCATCACTGTTTTATGTATATGTTTATATCCTAAGCCAGTGTTTCAGGGATTCTGGCATTTATATCTGTGATTAACTCTAAAACATATTTCCATGGGGCTTTTATTTATTTATTTATTTATTTGGAGTTTCAAAACTTTCAGGCCAATAAATCTTTCTACAATGACAGATTGGTCAACATTGAGGAGGTAAATGGAAACTAATGACGCTCATCAAGTTGATGATATGAATGATTTATTGGACCTGATCATTTAACACTTTCATCAAGAAGTCAATATTGGGGAAAGAAAACCGGGTTCTTATTATGGCAAACTGTATTTGCACTGTCAGCATTCGGTGATGTATTACAAACCTGTGGCTAGGATTAGGAGATTATAAATGGGGGGAAATGGAAGGCTCATTAATTTTTTATCCCCACAGGTGCAAGACATGCAGTGGGCTGATGGAGAACACACTCACCCGGCGTCTGTCTGCAGCCTGCCCTGCAGGCCTGGGGAGAGGAAGAAAACGGTCAAAGGAGTCCCTTGCTGCTGGCATTGTGAGCGGTGTGAAGGTTACAACTACCAGGTGGACGAGCTCTCCTGTGAACTTTGCCCTCTGGATCAGAGACCAAACATCAACCGCACAGGCTGCCAGCTTATCCCCATCATCAAACTAGAATGGCATTCCCCCTGGGCTGTGGTGCCTGTGTTTGTTGCAATACTGGGCATCATTGCTACCACCTTTGTGATTGTGACCTTTGTCCGCTATAATGACACACCTATTGTAAGGGCTTCCGGACGAGAACTTAGTTATGTGCTCCTAACAGGGATTTTCCTCTGTTATTTGATCACCTTCTTAATGATTGCTGCGCCAGATACAGTCGTATGTTCCTTCCGCCGGATCTTTCTAGGACTTGGCATGTGTTTCAGCTACGCAGCCCTTCTTACCAAAACAAACAGGATCCACCGAATATTTGAGCAGGGGAAGAAATCAGTCACAGCACCCAAGTTTATTAGTCCAGCATCCCAGCTGGTGATCACTTTCAGCCTCATCTCGGTCCAGCTCCTAGGAGTGTGCGTCTGGTTTGTTGTGGACCCCCCCCACATCATCATTGACTATGGAGAGCAGCGGACTCTAGACCCGGAGAACGCCAGGGGAGTGCTCAAGTGTGACATTTCTGATCTCTCGCTCATTTGTTCGCTAGGGTACAGTATCCTCTTGATGGTCACTTGTACTGTTTATGCCATTAAAACGAGAGGTGTCCCCGAGACTTTCAACGAAGCCAAACCTATTGGATTTACCATGTATACCACCTGCATCATTTGGTTAGCTTTCATTCCCATCTTTTTTGGTACAGCACAGTCAGCAGAAAAGGTAAGTGCAAGAAATGCATACACTAACCCTTCCCTGGATTTAACTCCTTTCTTTAGGATGCTTCCCTGCCTTTCTTTTCAGTTCACTTATATTCTCTCAAGATGATTCAGTCTGTATTATTCTTATTTAGAAATATATATATATTAATATATGTTATTATATGTTAAATATGTTATATATATAAATAATATTATACTTATATGTATCATATATATTTATATATATATACTTAACATATATATATGTATAAAATCCCTCAAGGTCACTTAACTTTGAATATGTGTTGACTAAGGTTGATCGTCCATGAAGAGTGCTTTAATGGGTCCTCCTTAGCAAGGCTGAAAATTGACAGATCTCACTTTCTGGGTCTGTCTTCCCAGGTCTGTTATCAATGAAGATAACTGTTCTTTTCCTAATGTAAATTAAAAGAGGATGGGAGAAAAGGCAGACATGATTCATAGGGATGAGCTATCCCAGAGATATCCCATTGCATGACAAACGCCTCCTTTTCTGGTTCTAATGTGACTCTGGGAAAAAGCTATTCCTTCACAATTACAATGGCTTTAGTCATGGAAGCAGGGTTTATAGTAAAGCGACAACAATAAAAGAAACTGTGGTGGCTTAGTTCAATATGAACCATCTTACTATTTCTCCTCAGCCCCCATTCTTACCACTTTTCCGTACGGGCAAGGTGATGAGGGATTAAAGAAGACAGCAATGGGCAGTTATATAAAGCAGTTTATAATTTTTCAGAAGGTAAAGATCAATTAAATCTCTTAAAATAATTTCCTTTGGCCACTAATCTCCAGTTAGACTTTTCCACATAAATCACTGCAAGTGAAGAACATCCATATGAGAAAGGGAGCATGTACTGCATGGGATACAGGTAGCTTTCTGTCCAGAAAAGCAGAGAACTCACATTAGCCATGAATTCCAAGGTTTGGGTAGGTTAATGGAGACAAGCCAGCTTGTAAAACAAAGGCAGTGCTATCTTTCTGAATGAATAGTCAGTCCTTCAGCCTTACTGTGCCTATGAGCACGCGCTTCTCTCAGAGTGAGGATTTCAAGATCGTGCCGCCCTCCATCACCAGAAGTTGTGAGGAAATCAAGCATCCTGGGGACAATTACATTCCCCAGTCTCTAACATTCCAAGCGAGGTCATGCATGACTCTTAAAATCCCAACTAATTCAGAGGAAAAAGTACTCAACAAGCGCACAGAGAGCTCATTAGTATGAGCATTCATCCCTTACTAGATCAATGTGGCTTTCAACCGTGTTTGGATACACACAAAAAAAATGTACTTCAGCAAACTTGCTGCTGAAGAGGGAAAACTTACCACGGGTTCCAGATCTGTGACCTTTCATGACTTAGATGGCCTGATAGAAGTCCATGAATATTTTATGTGGGACCCAGCACATGGCAGGAAAGTAAAGTAAGGCGGTCTGATGCTCTAAACCTAATAAACACTACATTTTTGACACATGTAGATAGGGATTTATGGGGATCAAACTTGTAAATATGACTCAGGAGAAAGTGCATGAGCTGGAAAATAAGTCTCTCACAGTCTGTTGGGTCTGTTTTGATATGCTTAGTTGAGCTGGTCAGGGCAAAACGATGTTCTTCAGAGTCTGGAAATGTCTGCATTATGTGAATTATTAATAACATTAAGTGGCATTTGTATTTGAACCAAGGACTGACTTTTTTAATATACTGTTTTATCTGAAAAGGGCCATAGGTAGTTTATTTTGCTTTCTTGTGGGCAATAAATATTTCCCCAGACAAAATCTCCTGAGCTCTGACATCTAACTTCCTTTTCTTTTTTTTTTCCTCCTGCTTTACATTTCATAAATTATAGTCTACTCTTACATCCCATATTGTGACTTTCAAGGGCAGTGGGGGAGGGCAAATACAAATAAGAGGTCATTTCTATTTAGATAAGTCTTTCAGTGCCTCGATTTTTAGTGTTAAGTAAAATCATGGCATGATATTTCACAATTGCATAGTATTATCATAGCATTTTAAACATGCATTATACTAATAAGCTTTTTTAAGGTAGTTGAAAAAAAATGGCCAAAGTTTCTCAGAACTAAAACCCTGCTAAGCTGCAGCTTTTCCCTTGCAGTGGTGATGGAGCTAGGAGGAATTTCAGGATAAAATAGACAGGTGAATATGCTGGGAGGGGGGTGGTGAGGCTCGATGCGATGCCACTGAGCCCGTGGGCACTGCGGTATGGCCTCTGAAAACCTGGAGTTTATGTATATATTTTCGGGTATAGATATACCCACGCCTACAAAGATATGAATGCTAGACAAAATTCTTTTTCTGTCTCTTAGCTTTGTGGACTCAAAGTAAGTCAAAGGAGCACATTGTAAGCAAATTATAAAATATGTTAATTGGATTTATTTTGTCTTCATGATATAATTGAATGTAGAAAAGACTGAAGAAATCGGGAAGAAATGCTAATTGTAGGAATTTTCAGAACATCGTAAAGTCCTCAGATGATCTAATTAGTCTTGGGGGTTGCTGAATCTGGACCAGCTCTACATCGAGAGCTATTATAAGTAGCTAAGATTTGGCTACCGAGGTACTTTATATAATACAATTACGTGTCATCCTAAGGCTTCCTATAAAATTTGCTACCTGTTATTTTCTGTCAAAGTATCTTTATTATTCAAAACAATACACAAAATGCATGAGAATATTTATTTTTTCACATTGCTAAAATTGTTGACACAGATATTGAAGGTGAATAAAACTCTGTATCTCTAAAAGAAAGCTTTACAAACGTTTTATTGATTGGGAGGACCAAAGAGCCAGTCAGTCCTCCATTCTCATTTATAATGCTCAGCCAATTAGCCCACGTTATCAACTTGAACTGTTTGTAGCAGTTACGCAGTACACACATCCATTAATTCAGTAGATCCTTATTGAGCAGTGTGTCCAGTATTGTGCTAATTATTGAGCCCATGTCAGTCTGCTTCCCTGGGCCTTCCTTGTAATGCTCAGTCTGGCTCCCAGCCGATGCCTGCCTGATGCCTGCCAGCACCAGCAAGATGCCAGGCTCAAAGGCAGGAGAAGATTAGGCTCAAGGGCAGGGAAAGATGGTGAGGAGTCAGATCGAAGATGAGAAAGCAAAAAAAGCTATGCATCCTGTAACTATACATCAGTAACCTAGAATTTATAACACAGGAGACAGCAGAAGAGCAAAATTTCTTTCACTGTGTATTTAATTATGCTTCTTAGAGTAATCTGCAGAAGAAAACTCATCTAACCATATACAGGTTTCTCTGAAATTATAACAGAAGTAGGAATAAAAGGTAAAATTAGTTGAATAATTTAGACAGATGTTTTGGAAAACTCCTGTGTAAAATCAAATTATAAAGGTACATTTTAGCACTCATGAAGACAGCTCTGGAAAGTAAGTCTTTATTCAAGATGAAATACCATTTAATTTCCCCACCTTTTTTTCAGATTTTGAAATGAAGTTGAATCATGTTTTTCCAATAGATTTTAATGACATCATTTATTAGCTTTGTGCCTGCTACATTCTACTAACTCATCGTATAAGTGCACTTTTCCTTTTCTTTTAGAAAAGTGGTGTGAAAGAAGGGTGGATACACTGAGGCGTGGACATGGACTCACACAAACTCTCCTAATTGTGCTGAAAAATCTAAAAAAACTTAAAATATAATTAATGTAATCGTCAGGAAAAGAATCCTCGGGGATGGTGAGGGGCTGTTGGGATGGCAGAAGTCTCTTGAATACATATTTTACCACCTCTAATTGCACTCATAAAGCTGAGATAATCAGACAAGGGTTATGACATTGCCAAGCTCCAAGGAGCATAGTGCTTTAACCAGGGCATTGGGTGAAACAAAACAAAACATCCTCAAAGCAGGGGGAAAAAGAACCAACACACCACCAAAACTCAAAAATGTCAAATACCCCCTAGTCCCGAAGCAGCCTTTCTTCCTTTGGTGTGGCATCATCCAGGAGCTCAAGTCAGAAACCGGGGAGTTGTCCTAGACTGCTCCCTCTGCACGCACCCACTCCTTCATTTCTTCCTCTCACCTGCCAATGTCAGCCTTGAAACATTCCTGGAAGGTAAGCTGTAGCCATCAGATGTATGTCTGAGTGACTGGGTCTCTTAACACAGAGCCTTTCATGTAGCACCTTCTCAGGTACTGAGGTGAGTGCCGACCCAACGTGTGAAAGGACTGCCTTGCACGAGAATGCTCTCATATATTATAATGTTTCTCTATGATTTAAGTTGGACTGTGTGTCATAAAAATCTTATATTTTCATCTTATTGTGATCCCCATTACAACAGCTTCCTTCCCCCACCGAAAAACAAGTTTTCTCATTTCGGTGATGGGCTGTATGCATTTCTTTAAAAAAAATTTTTTTTGTCTTTATCACTTGTTCTGAAATACGGCTGCTAAGTACGTAGGGAGAAAGGCCAAAAGGAATTATGATGGTTGTCTTAGTTCTGTCTAGCGTACACAGAACAAAGGAGAATTGATGGCATTAATCAGATACTTTTGCCTCATCATCCCTCGTTTTTTCACCGTATCTGTCTGTTGAAGGGCAGAAGAGTGTGGGGCTGCCGAGAGGGATGAGTGGAGCAAGGAAGAGCACAGGCTCTGGAGAAGGCAGATTTGGGTTCCAATCCTGACTCTGCTAAACTGGCTGGGGAAATGTAGGCAAGGCCAAACATCTGAAGGTAACAATAAATTCTCCCAGAGAATGCAAATTCATACAGAAAGCAATATAAAGCCGTCATTTGCCATCTGCGCCCAGCCCTATTCTCAAACTAGAACAGACTTGAGTTCATATCCTCTAGGAAAAGGCAGGAAGATGGGTGACTTTAAAAAAAAAAACAAAAAACAAACCCAAACACTTCTGTTGTCTCATTATGGTGTGGTTTTTTTTTGTACTAATAGATACCTCATGGTAGTTTTGCTGAGAATTTCATGAGATAAGTCAGGACAGGTGTTCAACATGTAATAAGTGATCATTAAAATGTTGGCCGTTACCGCTATTCGGCTGTAATTTATGAGAGCAGGGACCTTATCGGGTTTTGCTCACTGTCATATCCTCAGCACCGAGTCAAGGACTGAGCCAGCATAGAGTCTCAAGAAAAAAAAAACAACAAAACTGTGTTTAATGACTGAATACATTCTTATTTACCCAGATAATTGACTCGGTGTCTCCAGTTCTTGAGACCATGTCCATGCAGCACCCCAACTGGATGTGTTTTCTCAAACACAGAGACTTACCCCAGGGTAGTCGATCGTGCAGATTAAGTACCCTAAAGAGGGCAACCAGAATCTGTAGGACTCGGAGAAAGAGAAGAGAGAATTGTTCCCGAGGCAACATGTCGCTACCTTCACACATCGAGCCAGAAATACTGGAAGCAAGTGAGGTGTCATCAGAAAGAAATTGCTGAAATATGTTAAAATTTGAAAAGTGCTCAACTCTAACAAGAGTTGTGAGAGGTGGTTCTGAAGAGAATAACAAAATTCCTGCTTTAAGGAATAGTCAGGTGAGAGAAGAACCGCCTGAGCAACCCGTCAGTGTACTCTAGACAACAATGGAAGTGATTTTCGGCATAGATCAGCCCAGAGCCACACCTGTCTCTGCGAGCAGTCCTTCATGTCCTTAGACAGGAGGGGAATGGAAACAGGAGGTTGTTTTCTTTCCCTGTCAACTTGCAGTTATTAGAAGCGGATCCCTTTGAAGTCTTCGCCGTGTCCCTGTGTAAGGTGGCACCTATCATGATACCTACCTATTTCAGGTGTCTGGGCAAGATCAGTCATACCAGAACTGCAGTCAACTCTAGAAGGGGAAAGCCAAACAGAAGAGGAAAAAGGAAAAGCAACCCGAAAAGAAAACATTTATATAATCTCATTTATGCACTCAGTTAAAATGATCTGCTTGGGAAGATGCAGAAGGAAACAACGAGATAAGGAGATTCTAGGGCGCAGTGTAGGCCAGCCTGTTAAGTGCCTCTCCTAGGGAATGCTGCCCTAGCCAGGCTTATTACTTTTGTTCCGGCTGTGCTCCATATTACCGTCGCAGAAAATTGCCAACTTACACATTTAGGGCAATTCTTTTGAGGATGCCTATCTCATTTGACAGCATAAAGAAATACTTGCTCGATGAACCTTGCTTAGATTCCATGATCCTCCTTTTTTCGGGGGGCTCTGAGGAAGCTGTGAGGCCTAGGGCTACTTAATTTAAACATTTGGCTGTTAGTGAGATTGTGGTATTTACTCATTCATCTTTTTTTTTTTTAATTGAAATTGAGTTTACAAAGGGTTTGAATTTTCTATGCCCAAATTATAATAATTTAATCAACTATACAATTAGATAGTCAACCTGGGAACTAAGTCCTCAGCTCACTCATCTCATTAAAATGGTTTAGCTTTCTCAATATGTTTAAAATGCTAGACTGCTAGATTTGATGAGGACGAAAATGTGACTTTTTTTAGTCATAGTGACCATGACCTTATTTCAAAAATGTTCAGGGGGAATGCCATGCAAATAGACTTCTTTTTTCTTCTATAGAGACAGAACTTTAATGACACTGACTAATTTACTTGTGTAACTTCAAACTGCATTTTCCGTGATTCAGTAGACGCTTATATCTTATGGAGCACACAGGGTGCCAGGAAGAGCAGATTGCAAGCAAATAGTTCCTTTTGGCCGTAACCATATCACATTTTTATGTTACGAAATTTTTTTTAAGTCTCTAAATGCAGTATCATATGGATTAGTACCACCCACCCCAAAGTGTAGAAAAATATTTAACCAAATATTAGGATAAATTCCAGGTTATTGAAAATAAATGCAAACCAGACTTACTGGCACCATTAAAAGAAATATATATACAAAAAAGAAACTTAGTCTGCCTTATGGTTCAGGATATGGGCTGGCACAAACATATTTATATCCCTTTCCTCTAAGGCAACAATGAAATTTAAAAATATAGGAAAGAAGGAAAGAAAACGAGAAGAAAAAGGAAGAAAAGGAGGACAGGAAAAAGGGGGAAAATGAGAAAGGCCATTATATTTTTAGAGCCAACATAAGGTAGGACAATTTGAGAAACGCCAGAAAAATTAAAGTCAAATGGGTATGATTTATAGAGAAACTAAAAGAAGGAAAGCACAGCCCAAGTGACAGAAATGGTTCTCACCAGGATAGTTTCAAATAATTTCTAAGCCTCAAGTCGGCATAAAGACCTGACGTGGGCATGGGAGTGACCATCAGGAAGGTCACGTGAAGAGCTGCATTTCAAAATAGCTGGGCCAGGTGGGCCCCTCACTTTTCCTTTCTGTTCTAACTTCACAAGGATAGAGTACAGGTGTTACAGAATTCTCTAAAAATTGGGAATTGTCTGATGGTAGAATTATCTTGTGCTCCTTGTGTGGGTGTAAGGTACTGAGAGAAACCAAGCAGAATTGGACGTAACTTTATTTCAGACAGACATGAACAGGTGGGCAATACGAACTACACCTTCTATACAAGATAGAGACATGATAAATTTCTCAACTTTTAGAAAAAGTTCCTCCAGTGGTGGGACCCCAATCCGTTTGTGTACCTGTATCCGTGCATCTTTGAGAGAAGCCAGTCGGGTTAAACAGTGACTAACCTACACAGGTCTATAGTCTGCCCTCGCACCCAAGGAAAATGGACCCGGCCAGTAATCCTGATCCATCCATCTGGCCCTGCATCCTAATCATACAACAGCCAAGGATGTCATGATAACTGAAGAACCAATATCACGATTTAAAAAGACACGTAAACAAAACAAAACCAGAGGTAATTCAGAAAATATTAGAGAATTGTTTTTAAAGATTTTATTTATCTGTTTGACAGAGACAGAGAGAGAGAGAGAGCAAGCACGAGCAGGGGGACGGGGAGAGGGAGAAGCAGACTCCCCGTGAGCAGGGAGCCCAATGCTGGCCTGGATCCCAGGACCTTAGGATCATGACCTGAGGTGAAGGCAGACGCTTAACCGACTGAGCCACCCAGGGACTCCAAGAGAATTTTTAAAAAACAGAATTTTAATGAGCATTCCAAGAGAGAATCAAGAGAATATCAAACTTACACACATGCATGGGTTGCTGTGGAAAAGATCAATCAGAAAATAAAATGATCCTGGAAATTAAAATACAAATGTGAAAATAAAAAGCTGAACAGATGAACATAAATATGGGATGACTGGGGTTAACACTGGAGTGGAGATGTGAAGGGTAAAATCCGAGTAAGAACCAAGAAGAAAAGGAGAAAAATGAAAAAAGGAAATCTGAGGAAAAGTTAAAATACTTTGAGCATGGATATAAGATTCTAAAATATATCTAATAAACACTGAGAAGAAACAATGAAGGGGAAGAAACGGCTGAAAAAATAAAATAATAAAATAAAATAAAATAGAAAAACAAACTGAGGGATCTAGAGGGGAGGGGGGAGGGGGATGGGTTAGCCTGGTGATGGGTATTAAAGAGGGCACGTTCTGCGTGGAGCACTGGGTGTTATACGCAAACAATGAATCATGGAACACTACATCAAAAACTAATGATGTAATATATGGTGATTAACATAACAATAAAAAAATAAAAATAAAATAAAATAAAATAAAATAACAGAAGTTTCACAAATTGAAGAAAGACACTTTTAAAAATTGAAAAGCCCATACATCTCAGTAAAATTGCTCTAATTCAGAGAAAATTCTAAGAACTTTTAGAGGGGAGAAAAGAAACATGTAAGATATGAAAATCAGACCTCATATGCCTCCCTGGATTCTAGAAGGCAATGAACAAAGACTTTCTGAGGGAAAGTATTTTAAAGTTACAATAGTATAGCTAGCCAAACTATCAATCAATGTGAGGCTAAAAATGTATGTGGCTCAGAGAGTGTCTACATATCTCACATATGAATTATTCTAGATGTGATCCAACAAAATCAAAAAAGCACATCTGATATGAGACGAGTAACAGTGGCACTTGCTTATAACATAGAAGAAATGAAGAAATTTAAGAGGGAATTATAAAAGGACCTATATTAGACCCTACTCGTCTAATTACCTCTTAGCAGGTAGGGTTTTAATAATTATGGTTATTCTTTCTCTGCAAAACCAGTCATGCTACTTGGATGAATCCGAGGGCAATTAATATTCAGTAGCCATATACAAAAATCACGTTTTATATCAGTCTTACATTGTTAGAAGAAATCTAGAAACAAAATACAGAAATGTTAATTTGTCTAAGGAGGTGAGTATAAATATCGTAAACCCCGTTAAGTTAAAAATAGTAACATAACTTTAAAAACTTGGGTGGTGGCTAAGGAGCGGCAGTTGAGAGGAGCTGTGCAAGCGCATTAAATCACTCACCTTTTACTGTGAGTAGTCAACACACACAATCTAAAGTTGATAACCCCAGAAATAAGTGCATTATTTAAATAACAAAACAAAAACTCTTCAAATGGGTTCAGTCTCTAGAGTAGCATCAGGATATGGGGAGATGGATGATGGAGGGTTTTTATTTTACAAATACTTAGGTTTTATTTCATTTAATAAATAAATTTATATGATAAAAATAGAAATGACTGCATATGGAAGGGTTTAAGTGAAAGTCTCGGGAAAAACTTTCCTAAGACAACATGCATGTACATTCTCATATGGGGGCTTTGGTGCGTAATATGTATTTTGTGACAATACTGTAGATGCAGAAATGAAGAAATGATTTTGAATTTGTAAAATGACTCGAGATTTTTTTGGATGCCACCGTTTGTGAATTTCCTCTTATTTAAGGTTAATGCCATTACTACATCTTATTTTAAGGGCCACAATTTAAGTGGTAATTTACAGCCAGTGATCGTATTTCATTAGAAATATTTGTTAAATGTCTGCTAGATAAAGGGACCTTTGCTTGGTGTTTAGGAAAATGCAAAGATGAGTAAGAAGTTTGCTATCCAGTTGTTTAGGGTCAAGTAGGGAGCCAAACCAAGCCGGTGGATGACTGGTAGGAGGCAGAGTAACATAAACCGAGGCAAAGTGCCCACTCTGAAGTCTTAGGGCCTCGGAGGGAGAAAGGAGGAGGAAGGTGGTGTGTCCTGTTGCGGGATCATGAAAGTCTGCATGAAGGAGGTGGGAATTAAACAGGTCGCGAAGGGTGGAGAGAAGCAGATGGAGACCACCTTCTAGGCTATAGGGGCAGGGGGGTTAAACTTTCAGAAAAGGGAAAGTCAGGGCATTTGTGTAAAACCTGTGAGGGAGGAAGTGTTCTGAGTTTAGCACAGTCACAAGGAGAGGTCTGTGATCTATAGATCCCAGTGCGCCCTGTTGTCAATACCTCTCCTTTTACTCTGAAAACATATTTTGGGCAATGCATTATAGGGTTACACACAAAACACGGCTGGTCAGATAACCGGCAAGCATTTCGCGGCGGGCCGTAATACCCAGTTTGTACTGCATTTGCTGCGGACCTGAGGATATTGGAATCTTTCTGAGCATGAGTGTATTCTCGGTACCATTCCATTTTGTGAGATTTGTCGGCCAGTAGTAGGTCAGATGAACTGTCCTGTGCAAGGATGAGAAAAAAGACAATAGCAAGATTATTGAGGAAATCTAGGCAAGAAGTACTGGGGGCTTGACTGGCGGCGATGGAGAGTACAAAGCAGAGACTCATTTCCTATTGGGAATGGGGGATGACACAGTGGGAGGTACGGCGCTGGCTCTCTGTGGTCTCTGTGATTCCAGGCTTCTCCGAGGCTGTCACGAGGACTCTATCCGATGGAACTTGAAGCAAGACTCTGTTGTTTGCCCTCTGGTCTGGGCTAAAGGAGAGAAAGCAGTTCTTTCCAAGTGCTGATGACTGCATCTAACCAAGTATGGAGAAGGATATTTGGGCCCCAAATAGTGACGTTGGGTAAAAATCAGTTTGTGTGGATAAAAGCAAAGGTAGAGATACACGGAAAAGGATCTCTGGTGGACTCTGATTTGCAGTAAACAAATCTGCTATACTGTTCAAACGAATTTTGAAGTTGAAATAAGAAGGTATGGACTCTGAGAAACAAACTGAGGCTTCTGGGCGGGGGGGGGGGGGGGGGGGGATGGGTCAGCCCAGGGATGGGTCAGCCCAGGGATGGGTATTAAGGAGGGCACATACTGCATGGGGCACTGGGTGTTATCCGCAAACAATGAATCATGGAACACTACATCCAAAACGAATGATGTAAATGTATGGTGATTAACATAACATAATAAAAAATTTTAAAAAAAGACAAGTTCTTCAGAAATAGGAGTCATTTCTGAATGATTATGACTCAACTTGAATATATAATCACTATTGTGATGTAAATTTGGGTGTTAAATGGATTTTATAGTCTAGTAATCTTGGGCAAATTTTAGGGTAATTTTGGTTTTCTCTGCTTGTCATGGTTGCAATCAAATTCATGCAATAGTTTTTCTTTACTATATGTCTCCTTTTTGTGTAACTTTAGGCACCTTCCATATAACATCTGAATAAGACAAATTTCAGTTTTATTGCTGTTTCTCCTTAAACTTCATTTCTAAAATGTCATGTAGTGTATCCATACAGTAATTTGCAAGGTTCCACATTTTGGCAGCATTCTAAATCTTGTTCCCAGGGAGTGATTTTTGAACCAATCAAAACCTACACCACTGATTGTAAGTTTATTTGTTTGTTTGTTTGTTTGTTAAGGATGACTTGAGGTCATTCTCATTTTGAAAAAAATCTTTTTAGTTCAAAAATTGCAATCAGTTGGATGTTTTCATCAGAATTTTAGACTGGCTGAGTTATTTGTTCAGTCTAGTGTATCTCCAGAAAAATACCAAGGGCTATAATGTTTTCTGCGGTCTGTTGGCCCAAACCCGGTAGAATACAACTCCCAATATAACCTTTGTGAGTGTATACAAACCCACACATTTCACACACACATATACATAGAGCTTTGTAGATTTCATGTTCTCAGGCAAGATTAAATGTCATGTGTTTCTCCTGCCAGATGTTTTCTCTAAAATCCTCATCCACACAAATTGAATTGGATTGAAAATGGTATTGGTAGACTGTGAGCCTGTCATAAAACCGTAGAGTATTTACATCAGCAGGCAGCGTATCCCTGGAGCACTGTCCTTTCTTCAACAAAACACCTTCCCCCTGCTAACATGTCCAGTCAAGCCACAACTTATTGAACATTTGGTTATATTGCCTGCTTATTGTTAAGAACTGACAATAACAAGCATGAAATGAAGAATTACACTTGGAATGAAAAAGAAAAACATGTGTAGAAGGTGGTAAGAAAAACAGCAATGAGTAGAGACAGTCCATACCATAGGGTTATAAAGAACATGTCTCCAGTGAAAGCTCTCAAATTACTTATTTCTACCTCACTTATTACTTTCGAGTGTATTTTATATAGAGACCATGCATACCCTTGTGATCGCTAATGATACCCCCGTCTTATATCTTTTCCCTCCCTGACGCTATGGGAAACCACATCGCCTTGAATCTCTTTTTGTTTCTTTGTCACCTTGATCTCATCTTCCTTCTGCTCAAGGTTGCCCTGATTTTGGCCTTTCTCCCAGGCACCGTTTCCTTGGAGCACTCATCGTTCCTGAGGCTTCTGCTGTAAAAGATACACTCGTGTTTTTGAATTGCTTTTTTGTGCCTGCTCTTTCACATGAACAAAAATATGAAAGTAAGGGGTACCCTGGGTGGCTCAGTCGTTAAGCGTCTGCCTTCGGCTCAGGTCATGATCCCGGGGACCTGTGGTGGAGCCCCACATCGGGCTCCCTGCTCGGCGGGAAGCCTGCTTCTCCCTCTCCTGCTCCCCCTGCTTGTGTTCCCTCTCTCGCTGTCTCTCTCTCTCTCTCTCTCTCTCTGTGTCAAATGGATGGATAAAATCTTTAAAAAAAATAATAATAATGAAAGTAAACCATCCAAAACCAGAATCTGAAAGCAATTCCAAACCGAAATTGTGAAATTAAGATATCTAAAACCAAAATTTATCATATTTAAAAGAGTCACTATTCATTGAATGCCTCCTGTGTACTGAAAACCAGATCAAGTGCTTTATGTATAAATAATCTCCTTTCATCTCTTACAGATGCAGAGAGGTTAAGAATTTTGCATTCACACTGCTACCATGAGGTGTGTCTGGGCCTGAACCTACTCTGTTTGACTACAAGTCTCATGATTTTAGCTGCTGCTTCATATTTCTCCATTATGCTTAATCTTTGTGTTAATTCCTCTTCTCTGTCAACATTATCTGTTTTTCAGAGCTCCAAACTTGAAAGTTAACAGAAGACTTCCTCTTCCCTTTCCTCCATGTATACTCTGTCAACAAACTCATTTGAAACTGCTCCTAGATCCATTCTTTCCTTTCCACTTGCAAGGTCAAATCCTTAGTCTAAATCTGGGCATCTTTTGTGATATAAACTGACCTCTGGGACTTGCACCTTGAGAGTGACTTCCAGATTTCTGCCATATGAAGGTATTCCACATGCATCTTCTGATTTGTCACTTTTTAAGAAGTTTTTACTCAGGCAACCAATTTTTACTTAACACCCTCATTCTCCTTAATGCTGACAGTATTGATGGATCTAGATATGGCCTGCCTTCATGCATCTTGAAAGGGGAGACCAGCTTTAAGCTGACAATTATAGAATCGTTACTTAACAGAAATTGTGATAGTTACCAAAGATAAGATGAAGCGTTCTTAAACTAAAATTATTTCCTGTTGACCATTAGCTCAAACCTAAACTTTTCAAATCTGTCTTTCTACTACAGCCTTTCATTTCAGCGAAACCAGTGTTATCAAATCAACCAACCCATAAAATCTTCTTTAACTTATAAAACGTTACAAATTCTGAGCATATATGGACTCTATCTGGGCATCCGTTATTTTACATTTCCAAGGTTGTGTCCTTTGTTGTTCTTGGGGGCATTTATGCATCTGTGTTTGTATCTATGGTTGCATCCTTATGCACAAACCCTTTAGGTAGAGACAATAACCCTAATTCTTTTGTGTTCTTCCTGACTCTCACTTCTTGCTAGCCCCACAAAGGCTGTGAAAGTATGTTGCAAAGAGTTGTCAGCTACAATGTTGTGGAATGAGATGAACATGAAATTGTAAACATTTTCAAGCCAAATCTGAGTCGATATGTGCCAAAAAAGTGAGTTAGACGAAAGTGGGAAAATGTTTGGGCTGAATGGCTCTTGTCTCCTTCACATCCCTTGATGAAACAAGTTACCTTCTCTGAAACTCAGTCTCTTCACCTATAAAATGAGGGCTTGACAAGGTGGCCTCTCTTCCAACTGCATTTGGAATGTTAGAACCTAGGGAATAATTGCCCCAGGATTTCCTCACACTTCTCTAAGGCCCTAATTCTAAAATGCTCTTATTGTAAAAGAAAATTGCCAACCACTCAGAAGAGTGACCTAATGTTTAAGCAAATGCACGTGAGGATTATTATGTACATATAGTGAAGGATGCAGATTAATGCGTGAAGCATTTCAGAAGACAAATTTGCTGGAGGCAGCCATCAGTCTCATAAGCCTTAATCAAGTGCATTCACATCACCATAGCATGATACAAATGTATGATCCAGAATCTGAATTACTTTTCCAAAAAGCCCTATGGGGCATGTACTCACACCATATGTTTCTTTCAGCTTTACAGAGGTGTCTGAGGCAAGAAAATGAAAAAGGCAACTCAGTACTTGATGCTCCACATTAATTTGTACATGTCTTTGCTCTCTAGTTGGAAAAGCAAACAAGAAGGTTGAGCTCTCTGGTATAACGGACAGTAGGCGTCAGATTCTAGTTCATCAGATTTTGCTAGTTTAGCACTGACCTAAGCCTTTTGTTTCGCACCTCTACTCATCATCGCGCCTTGTTTATCATTCAAATCATTTTCCCTGCTAGAAATACAGGAGCCCCAGGCTGGAAGACTTAGATGTGATCCCAGAGAAGTTAATGTGTGAAGTAATCTCTTGTTAGAGATTGATTTTGATTTCACCTCGCATTAGTGAGTTCCTTGTCCCCTTCTACTGCATTTGCCTTGTACTTCCAGTCAATGCAGTATCATAAATTGCTCTGCCACAATGCCTTAGGAAGAAAGAAGGAAATAATGTCTCCTGAGCAGACTTCTTGTGACAAATTACAGTGTTTGTAGCAAGAGCCAGTTAGGTTTCCTTGTATACCTGTAAATTTTTCTCCCATTTGTTTTTTTCCCCTAATTTCACTCATCCTGTGGACAGTGGGAGAATGCTGATGCTTTCAAGTCCTTTGGTAACTGAAAAAAAGAAAAGCTATTTTTGTCCGGAAAAGTAATTCTTGATATTTTAAGACTTAATTCGAGTATAGAAACCACGTAGGTGACAAGAATTTTCTTCCTGTTGGTGGAGAACCTTATAAGACCAACAGAGAAATATGTATTTATCTTGAAACATAAAGGACATATTTCTAACACAGAAAATATTTAGGGTCAATTCTAACTGACCACAATGTGTAATAAACTGTACACTAATTTAAATAACATCCTGAAAAATTAAACTGTGTTCAGTCTAGTTGCATGGAGAGAGCTTGGTGTAGTGGTTACATCCAAGTCTTGCTTTGATATTTTGCATCTTCTTCCATCTCTACATTTTTGTGCTGATGCATTTGGGTGCTTGAGACATTTTAAGTTTGTATTCTTATTATGTAAATCTGCCCGAACTATAGCACCTTATCCTTTCAGCGTAGACCTAGCCCCAAGCAGATACTCAATGTTTCATACTCTCATCTGGTTTAATAGAGTAGAGCCTAATTATTTAATGTCAATTATTACATGATTTTGTGTTTAAAGTAAAATTATTTTTATGACTATTTTTGTGACTGCAACATAACTAAGTAGTAGAGAAGATGTTATAAGTTTGTTTATAAGGTCTTTTTTAGGTCCTATTCCCCACTCTTTAATAATATATCCTGTCAGGAAGTAATCTTTAACTGCATAATTTTTTTAAAAAAATGATATATTTGTAATATATGATTAAAAAGCATGAATACTATATTTTCTGGAGAAAAACAGCTTCACTTTAATGTCAATCAATTGGGAAATACATTTCTATGTAGTTAAACTCACTTTGATATAATTCCTGGAACATATCTTAGATACATAAAGTATATACAAATCATACTAGTCTTTAACTGAAAGCCCTTTAAATTCCTAAAGCATGACTTCGTCTTCAAATTGCTTCATGTTCTCTCTGTCAGAATACTACAATAATTTAAGGCTGTTCTATATGATAAGATATTATACCAAAGGGTTCTCTTTCTTGCCACTTCACGACTGGTTTCCTACTGTGTTCGGAATCACTGATGCTTGCTTACTTTAGTCCCATGTGCCACAGCAGCATGCTTCCTTCTGATTCCTGTTAACCAAATATTTATTTTCAGTCATTTAAAAATCCGAACAAACTCCAGCTTTTATTTGGAGCCATCCCAATATTGTCAATTACATTTGTATTTGGGTGTTAGTTTCCCATAAGAGGTCTTACCAGATGATTCCACAGATTCTCTTTTCGTTCTTTAGAGGAACAATGTCTGGAGTTTCTTTTATTAGTGCTCTTTTTAGTGAACAGTAGCTTACAAAGGGACTCATTGAGAAAAAGCTATTTTTCTCAATAGCTTAAATTTCCTTTTTCATATTTATTCCACAATTTCAGTACTTTACCCTTATTTTGGGATAGTTGGTCCATTTCAAGTCATCTCTCCCATTATTGAAATGAAATTGCACCTATAATAACATCAAAAGAAGAGCTATATAGCTATATTTTAAAATATAATTTTATCATAACATCCTGAAATCTCAATGCCCTCTAATAGTAAAGCAAACATGGAATTGTTTATATATATAGAAGGAAAATTATAAATATTTATAATATTAAAATATTCTGTCTCTTGTGTGGAGTGCTGATAAGCAAAAAAATATCTATTCCATTTTATATCTCAACTCAGTATGTATTAAGTCGTCATTTCCTAAACTTACTTTTTATTTATTTATTTAAGATTTATTTACTTGTTTTAGAGAGAAAGAGTGAACGCGTGCACAAGAGCACTCACAAATTGGGGGGAGGCAGAGGGAGAGAGAGAATCCTTAAGCAGACTCCCTGCTGAGCATGGAGCTGGATCCCAGGACCCCGAGGTCATGACCTGAGCCAAAATCAAGTGTCAGATGCTCAACTGACTGAGCCATCCAGGCACCCCTAAACTTACTTTAAAAAAAAATTAGGTTAAGGTTACCAGATTCATTAAATAAAAATTCAGATCTTCAGTTAAATTTCAATTTCAGATAAACAATGAATAATTATCTTGTATAAATATGTCCTATACAATATTTGTGACATCCCAAAATATTATTTGTTCTTTATCTAAAATTAAAATTCAATTAGATGTCCTATATTATGTCAGGCAACTCTATACTAGGTTGATGAGACTAGATTTATGAAACAAATATAAATAAACATAAAGTGAAAATCTTCAAATTATTTGCTATAAGAATTTAGTAAAACTTTATATGTATATTTAAGACACAAAAACAGTAATGAATAGTGCAAATATAACTTTAAATTACAAGAAAAGATATATCAAAATAGACCAATGTGTATTTAAACTTATATTTGCACTCTTAATTGGATAGATGACATTAAGTTCCATGATGCATAGTTGTGGTGAGTGGAACAAAAGCCTCCCACAGACAGGAACTTTCTAAATCACTGGACCCTGTGAGTGTGTTACGTTACATGGCAAATGGGAATTAAGGTAGCAAATGGAATTAAGGTTGCTGATCAACTGACATTAAAATAGATAGATTATTTTGGATTTTCTAAGTGGTCCAATATAACCATAAGGGACCTCAAATGTGGGGGAAGGAGAGAGTGTCAGAGTAACGTGACCTAACAAAGATTCCACCGGCTATTGATGGCTTTTGAGATAGAAGGCAGCCCTGAGCCAAGGAAAGCAGGCAGCCTCTAGAAGCTGGAAAAGGCATAAAAAGGCCTACAGAAAGACAGCAATCCTGCCAACATCTTGATTTTAGTCCGTGAGACCCATTTCTATCTTTTGAAAGCCAGAACTGCAAGATAAATTTATGTTGTTCTAAACTACTGGGTTTGTGGTAATTTGTCACAACAGCAATAGGAAACTAATAGAGTAGGTAAATATGATGTACATTAGGTGACTCTTTGGGTGATTTCCTGCTATTTTCAGACGTGGTATACCATTCCTTAAGACCAATTTTCTTATAATAATAATGATGATGATTATATAAATATGTTTAATATTAAAATATTTTTAAAGTGTAGGAATGCACACTTTGAAACAGTATATTAAGCTGAGAGGCTATTCATTAAACATTTTAATTTATTTTTAATCACCTGTGCATAGTGAATGAAGCTGCTTTATCTTTGCATTCTGTCTTTTTCACATTTAAATATTTTATTTATTTAATACACACAAGATTAGCTTATATTCTTTATTGGCACACTTTCTTGAGTAGTAGAGAAACACTAAATTAAAAAAAATGTGTTTACTCAACAAATTTATATAACAACAAAAAGTTCAATGAAATATGAATTGCCTTCCATATTTTCTAAGTTCATTAGTGTGATAATCTCCTTTTTTAAAAACAAAGTATATATTTTAATTATAAATATAAAACACCCACCTTATAGGAAAACTGGAAAATAGAAAACAGAACAACAAAGGCATTTATAATCCTACCCATCTAAGAAATTGCTGTAGTTTGGGAGAATGTTTTTTTCCAAAAGTGGGTTTTACCACTTTTGGAAAAACTGGGTTTTAACCACTTTTGGAAAAAGATTATGTAATATATCATCTATGGATGCCAGGGGTGTACCAGGTTTGTTTAAAAATATTCCTGATATAATAAACTATTTAAAAAAGAAGCAAAAAATATTCCTGATAGTAGACATTACTTGCTTTGAATTATAAATTATTTAGATTATTATAAATACATTTCAAATAAATTCCTTATCCAAACATGATTTTCCACAATTTTCATTGTTACTTCAGGTTAAGTTCCTTAAATCACTGTAGAACCAAAATAGGACATTTTTGTAGATCATAATATTCTTTCTCAAGCTGATTTGTAAATTAGTGATACTAATTCAAATTGGCATCAACACTAAATAATGTTCCAGATTTTGTACATTCTTATAAGCCTTTGTATATGTAGGACTTACTTTGGGTATCCAGATCTGGCTTTGAAACCTAAAGTTTCCAAAGTCTGAATTGTTTAAACTATATTGTACTCTTTCATTTTAAGCATTCTCTACACCCTTACTGAACTGGGCTACTATAAAACCACACAGAAATTGAAGTATACCTTACCCCACATGGAGTGAAATGCTATTGCTTGTTGGTATTCCAGTTGCAAGTCAACGAGAGAAATAAAGCATCTGCAGCGCTTGCTGTTTACATTACAAGATACTGAGCTCCTTGAGGGCTGGGATCCTCTTCTCTTCATCTGTGTGTTTCCTGTACCCAGCACTGTGCTTGACACACACTGGTACGCAGGTAATTTTTGTGGAAGGAAGGAACCAGTGCCTGAGTGCATGAACAAGAGAACAACTCTGTTCTCTCCATATTGTTTCTTTTTAGAACCTGTTGTGGAAATTGTGTTCTTGAAACCACCCTAAGAGAATGTTGAAAAAAGCTGTATTGTGGGCACTTTTCATTTATGAAGAGAA